TAATTTCAAAGGATGTTGGCTGTGAACTCCAGCTGGTGCTCTGGTGGTGAAATAATAAGGTTAAACAACCCAAAACACTGAAGAGGACCAACTAAATATTTGTTTTTCTTCCTTTTGGATAGACTCTTTAATGGAGACTGTCTAAAGGGAATTGTTAATCTGTAGACCAAAACAACTTTTTTATACAGAACAGACACTGAATTGTACTTAGTGTTTTTGTATAAAATTCAGCACGATGACCGCCAGAACACAAGACAGAATGCCATTTGTTCGCCCGGGAGATGTTCTAACAAACTGCAGAAAGAACAGCTTTAATGTCATCACCACTGCTTGTATTGGCTTCTCTGCGCCCTTAAAGAGGTCTCTCCTTTTGCTACCTGCACTGCTCAGATTTCTGGTACTCTGTTTGCTTACAGCAATGATTGACCTATTTCCATTAGCCTGGCTAATCATTAGTTGGCTTAAAATTGACACCTCTTTTTTGCTCTGGTGGCTGGAGTCTTTTGTTATGGTCTGGTGATGTTTTCCTTAGTGTTGTCTTCCATTGCCAAGGCTGCTTGAAGATCTCACCTACGTTCTCCTGTTCTCTTTCCTATTTGTATTTAAGGTATATCTTTTGAACGGAAGTCTTGCTTTATTGCTACGATTTTCCCATTCTTCCTCTGCTTTAATAGATGCATTGACAACCTGTTGAGAATGGTCTTTAAGAAGCCAGCCTGACAGCTGTGGCTAATGGCCTGAGACTGGTAGATCATGTGGACATTCAGCAGAGAAACAATTCTTCAGGTGCTTAAGCTCAGATGTGTTAGTACTTTCTGTATGCCATACCCTGGAGCTCTCCTGAGTAGGAAAATACACAGTTGAATATGACTTTGAGGTGGAGTATTTCACTGAGAATTAAAGCCAGACCACAGCTCATTCCTTAATCTTGAAATTAAATTAAATTTCAAGAAGGATTTATGTGGGGGGAGGGAAGTTTAGTTTTTGAATTTGTCATGCCTTGACTTTGTTGACTTACTCAAGCTTGGCTGAGATGCTAATAATGACCCCACGCACTGTGCTTTGACCATCGGTAATGTCCTTTTTCTGCAGTTCACTTGCACAGCCAGCATGAAGTCCCTCTGTTGCATTGCTAAACTAGTTTTTGTGTGTGTGTGCCGCTTGTGACAGGCGTTATCACACTGCTGCAAGCCTCTCCTTATTTTTTTAACTACTAATCAGACTGGTCTTCATTTACAGTTAATCTGAATGTATGTTTGGTGCTCTGAGCAATACTGTTGTCCAGGAACATTCTTCTTTAAAAAAAAAAAAACAAACAAAACTTGACCTATGTGTTATGGGAGGGGTTTAAAAATACCTTTTTTTGCACAGAACTGTACCTGTGCTTTGTGCAGACTGAGATTGTTTCTAATCGTGATTCTGAACATTTTGCAGAACTGAGGTAGTTGAACAACTTGAAACCCTCGCCAAAAGTCTATCTGGCAGATCGAGTAACACCATTAGGCTGAGAGCAGCAAACTCGTGAGGCTCAGTCATTCTCCCCTGCAAGTGGACAGTGGTAGAAGGATGCTGGGGTTTCTTCCAGAATGTTGTTTTCTGCCCTGTTTTCAGCACTGTGTTCATTTGTTTCTCTTTTGGCCAGTTGGCACCTGGCAAAACTTTTTCACATTGAGTGGCATTGTGCCTCTTCCTTAGAAGGATATTTATTTCTTCATCCATAAAGACTATCCAGTTGAAACTTATATTTAACAGACAGACTGCTGTTTTCAAGAGGCAGCTAGGAGACTGCTTCCAAGTCGGAGGCAGAGGAATAGAGCTGCTTGGAGGGCTGTAACTGGGAAGCTGCTGGAGTTGCTATTGTTCAGCCAGCTGCAGCACCCCTCTCCTGGTGCTTTCTGATATTCCCATGTTAGGAAGATAATTCAAATGTAATTTGAAGCTTGCCCTATAGCTAAGACAGATACTTCTGCCCCTCCTGCTGGTGGTAGCTCTGTTAACAACTGATTCCTTATTTATAACTTTGGCAATACCAAAATTTTACATCAGTGATTTTTAAATTACTTTCATCTTTCCATGCTGAATAATTGAGTACTGTCACATTCCCCATCTATGCATGTAGTTGGCATCAGGAACGAGACATTTAAAATTTCTCAATAATAGAACGTGTGAAACTACAATAGAATAAACTATTTGGATATAAGGTCCAGAATTATTTGTATAGAACAGCTGTACAACTTTTTAACGTAGCCTTCTTTTTTGGGGTGGGGAGGCAGGTCCTGGAAAAGCTTTTGACTGAATAATATTAACAATTGCTTTTAGGTTCTGGTCTGTCTAGTAAATAGCATGCTGGGCTTCTGAACCTGGGGCAGCATTTTATGACTTCTGGAACTAGATCCTCTCTGACACTGGTTATTTACTATTCTTTTAAGTAAAATGGAATTTATGTAAAATCACCACACTGCATAACCAGTGGATGCCAGCTTGGAGTTGATTGCACAGCTCTGCATTTTTGTTTGTCATTGCTGGGGGGCAGGGGACGAGCTCCAAAAGGCAAACTCCAGTGTTTGAGCAAATCCAATTGCTCTGACTGGATTTGTTCATGTGCAGCTGCTGCGTTCAGTTGAAAGGCTGTGTCAGGAGAGATCGCCTCTGTTGGATTGAGGTCCTCGGTCCTACTCTGCATGCCAACAAGCTCTAAAACTTTCTCAAGCCCACGCATCTCATCGGTGTCTCTTTCTACATCGTCTGAAAACAAAACCAGTTTTCAGCTTTCCATCCTCCAGGGGCAGCCAGTTCTTGGGTGAAAATAATACATGATAAACCCCACTTCCTCTGTTACAGAAATGGAGACTTTCTGCCTGTGTTGCTGACTCTTCATGTGTCCTATTGTTTGAGCAGCTAATTTTTCATTCGTTGTCCTTTGTTTTTGGATTGCCCATTTTGCCATTTGCAGCTTCAGCACTGTGATAGAGATTTATTCCCATATTAGAGGACTAATTTGGAGAAACAGCATAGTTGAGGGGCCAGACTCTATTGGGGATGAAGCCTTTGTGCGGTTTATTTCTCAGTGATTTTTTTTCAACAGAACATATTTTAAGATCTGCTTGTTTTGGCTTAGGAGGATTGTGTTTTTCTTGACTTTATTGTTATAAAGACCCAGAGCCTGGCAAGCCAAAAGATTCCAGAAGAGATAGTACTGCCTCTGGCCAAAGTCTGTTGGATTTCTGCTCTCTTTGACAGGTGGCTGTTGCTGTATGGCTCTGTTTGTGGTATAGCTCTGTTTGTGTACATTATGATGAAAGGAAAGAAGGGATATTCAGAGGAAAGAACAGGCAAGACCTGAGCGAGGAGAAATGAAGCTGATAGGTTAGTTCCTGATGCTGAGCCTGGAGAAATCCCATGTAATGTAGTTACTTGACTTAATTCCTAGAGTTAGAAGCCCAGTTCCCTGTGGCTCCTGTTCAGGCAGAGGAGAAATGGGCTTGCTTCACCCTTGTTTTCCCAGTGATGGCAGGGAGATCCTAGGGTGACTAGGCTATTGTGCTGTTCCTAAGCCTCTGCGGAGTTCTTCGTTGAATTTGGATTCTGCTTCTCTGTTTTGCAGACCCACGCTGCATGTTCCTAGGTGTTACAAAACGCTGAAAATGCTCCTTGGTAGGAAATACTAATTTTATCTGGAGGGTTGGGTTAGCACTGGGTCAGCTTCCAGCTTGACAATGCCTTTCACCAATAGCTTTTCCCTGAAGTCGTTATGCCTTAGCAAGTGGTTTCACATAGTCATTGGTGTTGTTTTACAGAGTTACCTTAAGTTTCAGCGTGTCTTCTGTAATGAAACTGGAATTTTTGATTTGGAAGAAGCTGCACTTGTAACAGTTGTCATCAAGAAAAAAAAATCCTTGGCAGAAACCATTACCAGCTATGTTCTTCATGTATCAGTGCAACACCTGGTTAAGTAGTTCTTTAATGTTAACTGATACAGTTATATTAAAGATGTAGTACTCTAAAATTTTTAGATAGGTGCTGTCCTTCAAAATTTTTCTTTAAATACTTGCCAGTTCACTACAGAACATCAGAGCCCACCACATCCTGTGCTGAAAGGGTTAATCATAATTTTCCAAACAATGACTGACAAGATGATGGCCTTAAAGAAGCCCCTGGCATACACAGCATTCAGGTAGATTTTTATTTTTCTTTCTACCCATGAACAGGCCAGGGGGGAAATGCACCACAGAGAACTCAGTAACTAGCTTGTCAGTTGAGTTTTCCTTGTAGTTTACATAAATTCCAGCCAGACTTTTAATGAAACTGCTTATTACTCTGCTTTGAGAGAGGCTGGTGCATCTTGGGTCCTGCTGTTTGATATGTTTGCTGCTGTTCACAAAAGCAGCCACTTCTGGCAATAGCTTGTAATTTAACAATATTCTTGATTACAGATGGCCACTGCACGATACCCTTTGCAGCATGAATGGAGCTGCACATTAAGAGTAATGTCTGGTAACGCAGCAGCTTGCGAATGTGTATTTTTCTCCCTTATTTTCCAGTGCATGCACAGAAGTACCATTTTATTAATGGAGCAAGAAGTGCTAGTTTCCTTCTCCATCTCAGCAGTGCCTTGCCTCCCAGTATCGGGAGGGTCTAAATGCTGTTGGGATGAGGTTGTTTTGTCTGCTGTGATTAGGTCAAATATGTGTGTGATTTGTTCTCCTTCTGCTAAAGGAATCTGCTAGATATTTTTATCCTTAAGAGGCCACGTGCTCAGTTTTGCTCTGGTTAAGCACAAGTATGTCAGATATTTCTTCTGCTTAGAAGGTAGGATTTTGCCTTGTTCTAATAGATAGGTTTTTACCCTTTCTCAGTGCAAGTAAACAGTCATAATCCTATTTCTTAGCAGTCTGTTACATTAATGTAGCTGCAGCGAAGGTGATGTGTGTGAAGAGGGTGGAGGGAAGGTGGAAACTGATGGGACTTCAGGTAGCTAAAAGCTGCTACTCAAATGGGGGATGTACAAGTCTTGTGAATCCCCTGTCAGCAGGGAGCCTGCTCCAAGGTAAAGCGAGCAGCATTTTCTTCACTGTTGAAGCCTGCCTGGGTTAAAAAAATGTTCCTTTCTTGCTTTGCGCATCCTATTTCAGGAGAGGGAGTGAAACATTCTGTTACAAACTGAGTGCTCTGCTACCTTTTTCACCTTCCAGCAATGTTTCTTGGCCATCCTTGTTGGATTTACTATGGATTTACTAGGTTGGATTTACTATGGAGGACTAAATAGCAAGCTGCATCAGTGGAAAGGAGGTAGTTATTGTGGGGAGAAAGCAAACACCTTCATCTGAAGATGCTTCGTCTCTTAAAACCTTCCAGTGCAACTTGCTCTCTTGACGGATGAGTTGCTAGTCTTACTTTCTATGAAAACTCCTTAAGTCTGCATGATTCATTTATTGATGCGATGTGGTCGCTGAGGTGTGACGCTTCCAGTATCTCTAGAGAAACTGCTTGGGTATGAGTGTGAGGAACCGTTTCAGGATTGTTAACAAGATCCTATTTTCTCAAAATGTTCTAGCTCCTCCTACTTAGGAAAAGGTAGGAAAAAAATTCATTGCCTTATTTTGGGATGACTTCATGGACAGCAGGCATAATTAGCTGATGTGAAATGAATCTTGATTTGAAAAAGCTGTCGTTGTTGAACAGAGGCAGTGACTGACCTTGAGGGGCTGCCCTCACTTCAGGCATTTTTCTCTCCTGTTCTCACAGCTGGGTGGGTGAAAAGTCCGTCTTTAAGCTCCGTAGTTTTAATTCTGTGTTTCCTGTTAACAGGGTCACCTTGTCCTCCACGGACTGTTACATCGTGCATGAGATCTACAATGGCGAGAATGCTCAGGACCAGTTTGAGTATGAGCTGGAGCAGGCGCTGGAAGCGCAGTACAAATACATAGTGATAGAGCCCACTCGCATTGGGGATGAGACGGCCCGCTGGATCACTGTCGGGAACTGCCTGCACAAGACGGCCGTGTTAGCGGGCACCACCTGTCTCTTCACCCCTCTGGCACTTCCAGTAGATTATTCTCACTACATCTCCCTGCCTGCTGGTGTGCTGAGCGTGGCTTGCTGCACCCTTTATGGTATCTCTTGGCAATTTGATCCGTGTTGCAAGTACCAAGTAGAGTACGATGCCTATAAACTTTCCCGCCTGCCCCTGCATACGCTCACCTCCTCCACTCCGGTGGTGCTGGTGAGGAAGGACGACCTGCACAGAAAGAGACTGCATAACACGATAGCACTCGCTGCCCTGGTGTACTGTGTAAAGAAGATCTATGAACTCTATGCTGTATGACTTCAGCAGGGAAGAGAGAAACCCACAAAGACAAGTGTATTAAGACTCCCACAGTAACATTTTGTTTTTCCTCTTTGAGAAGCAGTGGAGACTGGGAAGGATTTGGTTTAATAGAGCTGTTATTTTTAAAATAACACGTCACTGGTGCACCAAGGTTTTTCAGTTCTTCGTTACACTTAAGATGTGGATGTGTGGTGACTTGAGAGCTGTATGTTAGGCCACGGGAGTCCAATCCAGCAGCAGAATGTCGATGAAAGAAAGCTATAGAAAGAGGGGGTGTGAGAGCTTTTTTTTTTTTTTTGAAACATTTAAGTATATTGTTTAATTGTATTACACAGAACCAGCCAGAAGTTATCATTGACCATTAAAGGATGAGAATTTCAAATGCTTTTGCTCTCCTGTTACTGTTATCATAGTTCCCTTTTATAGTGTGCTTCCAGGAGATGGAGGCTTTGCTATGAGAACTCCAGTGGTGGTAATTATTTACGCATGCTCACACACAGACCCGATACTCCTCTTGTCCACTGCACGTGGCAGCAGCATCCATGTTACTTCACAGCAGCCGTCTGTTGAAGAAATAGCTGTAGAGTGTTGCTTTCCCTCTTGCTTGACTAGTTTTGTTTCTTGGAAGAGGGCTTACTTGTTACCCCAGTGTTTGTATCTTTTTGGTAATTGCTTAAACATTGATGGTTGGGGCTAAAGGCGTCCAAATCCTCTGCTGCCCTGCCACCTCCAACTATTACTTCTCTGAGCAATGGGGATAACACTGTAAGTTTCCAGCTACAAACACATTCTGCTCAGTTCCTGTACACGTTCTTCCTTATGTAGATGCATCTCCACTGAAACGCGTTGTACCACGTGCAGCCGAGGACTGCCGAGGTGGGAGTCCAGCTGTCTTACCTTTGTGCTTTGCTACCGCTGCTGACACTGGGGCGGCTGTGCCCCGAGTACGCGATTCCACTGCTCTCGCTCGGAACACACGCTTCTGGAGCTGCCTCCGCTACTGCTGCAAGGCATCCACGTGATTGTATCCTGTAACTGTGTTATTGGAAATTTTAGAATTCAATCTTATGCATTAATTCATCTTTTAGCTCAAAGCTGTCAAAATCTTGTTCTTGGAATGGGAAGTATTTACTGGTTTGCAAGATCTGCCAGTTACTTTTATGAGATAGGGGCTTGCTTTCTTTAATCGCCTCCTACCAGCTGGAAAATAGGCGTGGCTTGCACTTACAAGGCTTGGCACAGCTTCAAGTGTTATGAGCTGAATACACGAGCAAAGCCCTGTAATAAAAACTGCCTGCCCACAGGTGTACTGCTTGCTTCAGCGGCAGTTGCAGTCCGACCTCCACAGCTGAAGCACTGACCTTGGAAGGGAGTCTCATGAGGTCGGAAACCAAATTCAGTAGTTCTATCTTTATCTTTCCAAATTGCAACAGCGGGTACCAAGAACTGCTCCTCGCCTCCAGACTGCAGCAGGCTTTTCTGGCCAAGGTTCCAACTTGTGCTTTTCTGCTGACGCAGCTTTTGTGTTAGCAGGGCATGCATCCCAGTCGTGAGCGTGCCAGGCAAAGGGGGTTTGCCGGCAGTTCTGAGCAAGTGCTTTTACCAGCCGCGCAGGCGGCCGTACCCCAGCAGACACGTGGGCTGGAGGAAACTCCTGTGGCATCGAAATATTTCTAGGTGGCCACAGCCCTTTGCCTCTTCTGCTGGTACAGTGGCTGAGTTGTCTCCCTCCAAGGTTAAAAGAAGCTGGGATCCAGAGCATCTCTATTTATAGCAACAATGTACAGTTGCCTTGGCAGAGAGGAGGGGAAGAAATGCAACTGCTTCATCTTTCTGTGGTTAGGCCAGGACTGCTGGGCAGGCTGCCTTTTGGGTCCCGACGCCGTTTGTTTCTAAAGTCCCATCTACTGGATGAATTTTAAACTAGTGGCAGCTCTGCCATAGCCGATACGTACTTTATTGCTGCAGAAGGCCCTGAAGTATCCTTGTGCTAGCCACACAAGAGACATTTCTGCTCTTTTTTGATTGATGCAAAATAATTGTCAGGGCTGTTAGTTCCTTTTCTTCACTAAACCTCTGTGGTCTTGGCACTTTTAAGCTTTCCTGGAATGATCACTATGGCAGAAGGACTAACCCTTGGTAGGCTCCCTGAACGCACGGCTTGCATCAAAGACTCTGGAGTTAAAAATGAGCAAGTTTCCTGTGGTCTCTTATTGCAGGAGGAAAGGTGGAAAGTCAGCTTAGCTGTCACAACAGGTACGTCTGTTTTAAAAACGCACCCTTCGCTTAATTTTGAGGTGGAGAGGACATAGATGGGGGCTAGGGGGGCTTGTTTTCCAAGACATATTAGTGATTATCTAGCTAAAATGCTTGGTGACATCCTGGCTATTAGTAAGTCAGTGCTGTAACTATGCAAGGTGACCTGGGAGAACGAGAGGGGTCTCAAGGGTCGTGTGTTTCACTGCATCGCACAGATGGTTCGGTATCTGCCTTCCCCATGCCGGTAGCTGTGGGTTACAGTGGCTGCGGACAAGCCTCCCTCTCAAAATCCCCGCACGCTTTGCTGCCCCTCCTGACCGATATGGAGGTGCTCTGAAATGGAGAGTGGGAATTTACTTTCAAAGGGGAATGTGCACGCTCTCAGTAACCTCTGACTTGGAGCTGTAGTTCAAACTAACTACAGTAACTCCCCACACCTCATTTTTTTTCCTCAGGACTGATGTGTTATGCCCCTCAGCATCCTGGAAGATAACACAGAAATGCAAAGTGCCCCCTCGGTCCTTCCTGGGTAGCCATGATCTGAAACACCAGAAGACGGAGCAGCTGGACAAGACTGGCAGTACTACTGTATTTTGCCAAGAAATGGAGGACCTGAACATGCAAAACACGAAAGGAAAAGCACAACTAACGCTTACAGAAACTCCCTCTATGGAGAGAGAGAGAAGGTAATGCCTTGGTTTCCTATCTTAACAGGAAAAAAGATACACACCCCTGAAAGCTTCGACTTGTAATTTCATCCCTAGGCCTTTATGTAACAAATCTGCAACCTCAGCCACAGGGAAAATGGTAGAGGATGTCCCAAATGAGCCGCAGCATTGTGATCATAAACACGTCCTGGTCATCATCTGGGATGGATTCTCAGAGATCATTTATAAATCTATAGTGGTCAAGAAAAGGCTTTTTGAAGGAGAAGGTCCTGCTGAGCCTGCATGCCTGTATTACAGATTTAGTGTGACTAATCCTCTGTGTGGATTTACACTATGTCCTGTAAGCTAGCAGATGATGTAAAGAGGGCTGGGATAAAGTATGTTGTTCTGCAACTACTGGTACAATAGCCCCTGGCAGGAATGTAAGAAAAGAAAAACAAAACCCTCCTGCTTTCCCTTCCTCTAATGTTACCTGCTGTGAGGAGCTGAAGTAGAACAAAGGATTAATTTCATAGCAACGTAATTTATTTGTCATCAGATGTGCACTCACAGGCAGGACATACAAGGCAGTACACATGGAGAATGCTGGTAAGTGCATGGAGGCGGGAGCAGGGGTCTGGACCTTGGTTCCTACTAGGCTTTATTTCAATTATAAGTTAAAAAAAGATTATTTCTGTCCTTACTGAACTATCTCTGTGCAGCCACTCCTTTTTCCTAGTGGTGCTGGTATCCCTCACGTGAGGAGAAGGGGCTGAAGAATGGAATATGGCACTCCCTCAGGCTGTCAGATTCCCTGAAGCCTGTGACACCTGGCCAGGCGGGTATTGTCCCCCCATTGGATGTAATCCTAATTAGCATCCGTGATTGCTCTGAAAACAGATGAGAACTAAGCATCTATCTCCTGTACTGTCCACCCCACGCACATGGATTCTCCTCTGCTTGCCAGGAGTCCGCGTGCCTGGCATCTACAGAATCGCACCCACTCTGTGCTGGAGGCCTGCAGGTGAACCAGGTGTGCTGCTGCCAGCTGCACAGGATTTACACGCGACAGCATACCTTGCTGTGCTACTTTTTATCTGTTCAGTGCTTCCCCTGCATTAACTTGCGCTGGGGTTAATACTGTACTGTCGGGTAGTGCAGAGTTAGACGTCCCTGTACATCAGTAAGGCATGATTCATACAGATAAAATAATTGCCAAATAAAACTTAAATTTTACATCCGTTACTTCTTTAAAAGTGGCACTGGACTTGACTTTAGCTTAATATATCAGATGATTTGGCATGTTAACAAGCAGAGGCTCTGTGAAGTTTCCCACTTCAAGAAACATGTTCTAGATCAGATTGGAAGGAGTGGGAAGGAGATGCTGATGAGGAGAGCTCCCAGCTGAGGACTGTATTTCACAGGGGCCGTGGGCTGGGGAAAGCTAAGATCTACTTGTGTGAAGGCAAAACAGCTGGGGTTTGTTTGTAGCAGGCAGGTAAAGCTGAGCATGCCTGGAGTGAGGTGAGGTAAGGTGCTGTCTTCCAGCACGCGGGCCTCCCCTGCTGCAAAGTGTGTTCCCTTGAGTTACCCTCCCCTGCAGCCTCAGCTCTCCCCCTCCGTCCAGGCACCCTTCTTCAGGTGAGGTTTAGGTGCTGTCTTCCAGCACGTGGGCCTGCCCTGATGCGGGGGAAACCGCTTCCCACTCTCCATGCAATGGTAAATTGCAGCATTTTGAGAAAGGTTTTTCCTGCAGGAGCACCTCCACTGATGTCCCAGCCAAACTGCAGGGGGTCAGCCTCTCCCTACAGTTACTGCTCGAATGAGCTGAGCTCTAAGAGTCCTTCGCTTTTCTCTCCTTTTTTGCTCTAGTTGCCATTAAGGTGAAGAAGAGCCTGGGGAAGAGGTTTCGCAGGTAGACAGCCAGGGAGGGCGTTAGGCCAGCTACAAGTACTTCCTTCTTCTTCTGTCCCACCGCATTGAGAACCACCTGAGCGACCTCTGCGGCTGTCTGTCCTTCGGCGGTGTTCTTGTCCATAACTGCCAAAGGAAAGCTGAGTAAGCATCAACGCCAGCAGGTAAGCCCATGCT